GCAGGAAGTCAGCCAACAGCCCTGCCAGATATAGTGCTGTAGAGATGGTCCAAATCCCTGTCCTTATTGTAAAAATTCAATGCTCAAAGCAGATAATACAATGATTACTATAGAATCCCAGACATGTACACATATGAATTTCAAGCATATATGGCACACAAGCAAATTAATACAAAATATCATGTATGTTAATAAAGAATTGCATTATTGAAATGAACCCCATAGTACACCCACATAACTTATGATTATTAATTTGGTCCACTGTAAAATTTTCTGTTGGTATTTTTGGGCAATCTGTGAGGCCAAAACTCTTGACTATTTCCACTTCTCTCAAAAAATAGATCTTTATCTAAATGTCATGCATGTATCATTTATAAGTAGATCATCTGTATCTATGGCTAAATGTATCTTTATACCTATGGAGGGAATCCATGTATATGTGTGTGTGCACACATGTTTATATGTATGGCTGGAGAGAATATTTAGCAAATAACTTTATTGTGAAAAATATCTAACTAGAAAGTGTTGAATTAAAACCCTAGTGAAGGTTCTGCTATGATTAAGTTACTTTGTACTTATTACAAACAGGGTGAATTCAAGTACATTTGATACATTGCAAGAACTTTTGAAATGCCACAATGTATCCCCACCCAGCACAACAAGAAAAAAATACAGACAACAGAGGACAAATATCTATACTACAAGATTTGATAGGAACTTCCAGTTGTTCATTATTAGCTGCATTGAAGCATGATACTGTAAGGAGCAGATTCCAAGAGAGTATTACATGTAAGAAACATTGGGACAAAAATCTGAGACAGAGAAAGGGGAGGAAGTCAGAAGAGGAGCTTTTGGACTGCAATATGATTCTGTCGCTTATGGAGGAGGAGGTTTAGGAGAGAGTTGTGTAGGCAGAATTTTAGAGGACAGCATAGTTCTGAAAGGCTTGCAACAGGGCTGGTGGGGTTTCCTCAGTTAAAGTCTCCAGGCAGAAGAGTTCGGCATCTTTCAGGGATGGTTTTGCATTCACATCTTTAACACATTCAATCATTGGTTGAGAGCAGCCTCTGGATAGACTGCAACACAGACAGTGGTAGATTCAGTTCAACAACTGGGAAATCAATTATGCCTCCTGCATCATCAGTTCTGATTTTAGTGGCATATTTTCATGGCCTTCTCATTGATGAGTAGTTATTATGAAGAAAATTCCTATTTTGGATATCAGTACCTCTTGTCCTTTCTTTGTGTTCTTTACTACATACCCATTGTTGCACTTTAGGGAATTGATAACTGCCCATTTTCAGAAAGTTGTTAATTGGGACTTTGATCTCTGAATGGGCAGAAATGATATTCCAATGTTTTATCATAATGTACCTATGGGGAGAATTTTACTTCAATAAATTCTGAAATAGGTTGACAGATTTTCTGTTATTATTAACCTGGGAAAGATGTCATTGGTGATGATTATTATGAGTGTGTAGTAGTGATTTGTGAGAGTTTAGGTGTATGCTTACTTCAGCGATATATAAAAAAGAACTTAAAAGGGAAAGAGTTACAATCTGCAGACAAACATGACTACCATGACACTTACTGTGTGTCACTTCTTTTTTTCCTTTTATTTTATCACTTTTACATTTATTTACATGTGTATACATCGTTTGTGTCATCTCCCCTCATGCCCCCCACCCCCTGCTTCAAGGCAGAACCTGTTTCACCCTCTTCTCTGATTTTGTTAAAGCCACACTAAGATTCCATCTCACCCCTATTAGAGTGGCTATTATCAAGAACACTGCCAATAACAAATGCTGGTGAAGATGCAAGAGAAAAGGAGCCCTCATTCACTGCTGGTGGGAATGTACAGCAGTACAACCACTTTGGAAAACAATATGGAGGCTCCTTAAAGAACTAAACATAGATCTGCCTTATGATCCAGAAACACAATTGTAATAGCATTGTAATAACTTGATTTGAAGGAATGCCACTTACATTATTACAAAAGCACCTGCACACCCATGTTTATTGCAGCACTATTTACAATATCCAAGCTATGGAAACATCCACGGTGCCCCACAACCAATGAATGGATCAAGAAAATGTGTGTTACTTCTTAACTCCATGTCTGGTAATGATAGGAACTCAGTAATTTTCCTCTCTAGTAATTTTGTGCAAATATTGTGTAGCCTACACAAATGGAGAAGCAGATGCTATGCAGAAGGAAACTTGTGGAAGTAACATGTCTTGAAAAATCATTCATTCTCTTCCAGTCATGGGAGGTCAGTTTTTGTTGGCTAATGAATCATAAGCCATCAAATCTGGAGACAGGGAGACTCAGTAGATACACTTGCAATAATTCAGATGAAAGCCAATGGTGGGCTGGATTAGTATAGTGGAATGAGAATGGTGTAATTATTCTTTTCAACAGCAAGAGATAATTAATCATGTGTTTTGGTTAACTATTTCTGAGATTATCTGAGATTCCAGCCAGTCTAAGATATTCAGGGACTAGATTTCAATTCCCTCTCTCAGAGATCAGAGGAATGTCAAAACTTGGCAAATGTTACAACCTCATTCAGAGGACTATAATAAAGTAAAACACTACTTTCAGTAAACTAAGTAACTAGGGAAGAAATCTGAAGAAAAGCCAATTATATAATCTGAGCTGCATAGATGGTTGACAGAAAATGCATTAGGATAATCAGCAAAGATTATCAGGTAGGTGGGCAGTTAATATCAAGATGGCTTTCAGAAAGCAGGAGGATGGTGCAACTATGCTGGTTTTAAGAAAACATTTGAAAGCCAAGAGGACTGGTGAGCAAGTACCAGAGAGATAGTGAATTATCACAATTAGGGACACCCCAGATCCTGCGCACAGGGACCATGCTATGCTAAGCTCTTTCTCACAGATGATGGATTTCATAAGGCCAAGGGAACGTGGCATTTCAAGTCTGCCATAATCCCACCTCCCATTTCACTTATACATTCCTTGGTTCTGGATCTGGGGCTTATGTTAGTGGAATAGATGTCTTCCCTGAGTCAGTATATGTCAAGTCTACACAGTATAGACCAAGGGAGGCTAAGAAGCAAGTGATTATAAAGTGTTGTTGACAGAACTTGGACATGTGGACCTGGAATATATACACTGTGATTGATTATCCATGTTTGCCATATGAATGCGAGGAGGTAGTGAAATGCTGAATTTAATGGTAGGGAGGAGTGGGAGTTTTGGAAACTTTGGCCATGGGGAAAGGAAAAATTTGATGGTAGTACATGGCAGGCATTAAACTTTCTCCTACTACTTTTAAAATAACATCCTTATTATGGTCTTCCAGATATAAAGAAACTATACATACCCACTTGATATACCATACTTATTTTGTAGGTTTTGATCATATACATGCTTAGAGATTATCTTTTCATATTAAAGTTTGCTAATTTAAAAATTCTTTACTGCTGGGTGGTGGTGTCTCACACCTGTAATCCTAGCTACTTAGGAAGCAGAGATCAGGAGGATTTTGGTTCAAAGCCAACCCAGGCAATTCATTTGTGAGACCCTATCTCTAAAAAACCCATCACAAAAAAAGGGGATGGTGGAGTGGCTCAAGGCAGGATCTGAATTCAAACCCCAGTATCAAAAAACAAATTCTTTACTTTTATTGCAATTTTCCTTATTTCACCTGTCTATAATGGAGCAAAGTTTGATCTGTTCTCTTTGAGATATAATAGCTCTTGGTGATAATTATAGTCTCATGGCTCACCCACTTGGATTTTGTCTCATTAATGATAGACTGACTGATTGATTACACAAACACTTATGTAATATGAGGTGCCTATCACTCTTTTAATTTTTGACAACACAAAAATGAATAAGAAAGATAAAATTATTGCCTTTCTTATTCATTACTTCGAAGCTGATGAAGCAGACAGTGAACGTGTGAAATAAGTAAATGAGATATTATCACAGAGTGATAAAGTTCCATGATGAAAACATGATAAAGCAACAAGGTACAGGGTAACTATAGGAGAAGGGTCCTCACAAACAACATTGGTTAGGTGAGGAAAAGTCATTGAACTAGCAATACACTTATGCTGGAAAAAATCAGTGCACCTCAACCAACAAAATTATAAAGTTTAAACCTTTCCAATTGGGGTATCTTGGAAATCCTAGTATCAGATATTTTCATGAAGAAAGTGACATCTGGAGAAGTTACTTGATATGTGTGAAAGTGTCATGTGTGTGCTAGTCCTTATTGACTAAATTATCTGCACTGTAAGGCAGAAGGTTTATTCTGGCTACAGAAGTTTGCTGGGTCTCTGAGTGTAAAACAAAAGTGCCAGGGAGTGAATTGCCTTGGTTTCTCCACCAATAAAGAAAAAAGGGAGCTGGGGAATAAATACAATAGATTTCTCACCTCTCAAGTGATATTACTTTGAAACCTGTTCAGTATAGTTCACCACAGACTCCAGAAAGTCTGAGCACCTCTTGTGTTCAGATGTATAAATGCTGTGTTGGTTTACTTCCCTTCTCTGTCTTATTGTACCACTACCCTACCAATGGTTTCTGTCATTACTTGTAAAATAAACCTCTGGATCTCAAATCTGTGAGAAAATTCAGCTATGATATATTGTAAGAACTTTGTAAATGTACCCCCAGCACAACAATAATAAGGAAAAGAATCATGGCATATTTTAAACTTTAAGAATTAAAATATAAAATTCTAGTACCATTATAAATATGATGCATGTCTGAAAAGCACATTACACCAATAGGGTGGTGATCTCTGCAATCCTATGATTGTAATTTTGAACTTAAAATTGAAGCATCATCCTATTTCTAGCAAAAAAAAAATCCCCTAGCCTGGTCATACTCACAAATTATGAAGACAAGAAGTCTCATGTATGAAAGAACAATACAGAGAAGTTAAAAATAAGAAATAATTGCAATTATATATTATTACATAATAGAAGTCCAAGAAAAGTTCCACATTTTCAAAAATAGATAATTAATTAACCATATGCAGTGAATACTTTGCTTTTCCCACAACCTTCTTGAATGCACTCTTGACCTCTTTATTCCTCAGGCTGTAGACCAGGGGATTTAGCATGGGGATTATCATACTATAAAACACAGATGCCATCTTGTCTGTGTCCATGGAATGAGTAGAACCTGGCTGTAAATACATGAAGATGATTGTTCCATATAAGATGGAAACAGTGGTGAGGTGGGATGCACAGGTGGAGAAGGCCTTCTTCTGTCCTTCAGCTGAATGCATCCTCAGGATAGCAACAAAAATAAACATGTAAGAAATCAAGATAACAAAGAGAGTGCAAAAAACATCAAATGCTACCAATGTAAAAAGCACAATTTCATTTGTGTAGATATCAGAACAAGAAAGAGCCAGCAGTGGGAAAATGTCACAGAAAAAGTGATTAATCACATTTGAATGACAGAAAGAGAGATGGAAAGTTAATGCCACGTGAATGGAAGATTGCACAAGTCCAAAGATGTAGGAACCAGCAAAAAGCAGGACACACAGAGTATCTGTCATGGTTGTGGTGTAATGCAGGGGCTTGCACACAGCTGCATGGCGGTCAAAGGCCATTGAGGCCAGGAGGAAACCTTCAACAATGGTAAAGGCTGCAAAGAACATCTGAGTGGCACAAACCTTATAGGATATGTTCTTGTTTCCTGTGAGAAACCCCACCATTACCTTAGAAGTGACAGCCGAGGCATAAACACAGTCCACCAAGGAGAGATTGCTGAGGAAAAAGTACATGGGAGTGTGGAGTCAGGAGTCCAACAGAATCAACACAATTATCCCAAGATTCCCAACAAGAGTGATGAAGTAAATGACAGTGAATATCACAAACAAAGGGACTTGCAACTCTAGGACATCTGTTAACACTAAAAGAATAAATTCAGTTACCTCTGAAATATTCTCCATCACAATCACTTAGGAATTATCATGACAGGCACCTAGAACAAGATGAGAAAATAAAACATGATGCTAGTTCAATATCACCATAATTCTTGAGGTGTGACCAAGGCCTCTTGCTCATGTGTGAACTTCCTGTCCAGTACAGAGGTCTATGAAAGGAGCTGGTCTGAATGTTAGTGGACAGGGCGGGTTGACTGAGTTCATTCATCTGGAAGTGGTAAAGGAGGGCAACAGAACATGTTTGGTGACCCCAGTTGCCACAAGTTGTGCATATTGTGATTCTGGGGCTCAAGTCACTTTTCCTGGTATATGATATGCTTTACTACACTAAACAAAATAAGACTCCTTTGCACTGCCTGTAATAATACACAAGTACTTTTGTCTAAAACATGCATAAAGGTATAATCAGCAGAAAGCACAGTGCAGGAACATATGGTCATGCTTTGGTGTATGATGCTAACAAAACCTATCATATGCATCTTCCATCTCTCCTAAACACCATTTTGTTACTATCTGAAGATAAGCAATGATGGGGTTTTTCTCCAGGGCTTTTCTCTCCAAAACTAAAAGAGCAGTTTTTCAAAAGGCTGAATCTAAGCTTTTGTTTCCTTCTCTTCAAGTCACAAGATTTTTGTTTTTTGTTTTCTTTTTTTTTATCATGACAGATGTTATCCATTTGCTACCATCACCCATGCCTTTGCTCTACTTGTGGGGAAGGAGAACAGGGGAAGAAGGAACAGACACTTTGTTCTCCCCTAACAACTCTGTGTCTTCAACCAACCCATATTTCATAATGCAACTGGTTCAACTTAACCTCTGGGGGTGGCTCAGGTGACAGCTGAGTATGCTACTGAGTTTAGAGTATGAGAGATCCTCTTAATTTCAGAGGTTCTTCTGACTCTGGAATCTTAGGTTACACTCAATTATCCCAGACTAACCATACTTCATATTCAAGACACAAAAATGCACAGCCCTTTTCTTTAAGGATAGCCCCGGCAAAAATCATTCTCCCTCTACCTTAGAATCTATCCTGTTCTTGTATGATGATAAATATGAAAATTATTTGAAAACAATATGCATGCTCATACATTAAGATCAAGTAATTGGAACCATTACTTTCATACCTATCACCACTTGTCTTGTGTTTTCCAGAAATTTTGGTCAAGAATATTTTATGTCAAAGTTTTCATATTCCTAAAGAAAATTGATATCATTTGAGATGGTCAAGTGGATATGGACAAGGCTAAAAGCCCTGATATGAAAAAAAGGAACTATTATATCTGCACTGCAATTACTCAAGAGAATTAGGTGTACAGTCTCCCTTTTGAAGGGCATCTGACAGTAATGAGCATGGAAATCTGATTTCCATAGAACAGTAGGCCAGAAGGGAAGTTGAATAACACAATGTGTAAGGCATCCCTTTTTAATGTCTCTGAACTTATTTTGTTTGCTAAGTTTTTGCTTATGTGGATTGAATTCAATGCCTTAAATACGCTAGGCAAGTGCTGTAACACTAGTGCACCCCCACTACTTTGTTTTTTATTTTGTTCTTGAGATAGGGTTTTATTACTTTATCCTGTGTTAGCTTCAAACTTTTGACCTTCATCCACTTCCTGAGTACTGACTTTCCATTTTTTGGCTTCACTTGTAAGATAAAAATGTTTAGACACTCTCTTGTCCCTTACAGTTCTAACTTGCTATGGTTACACGTTTTTGTAATACTTACTGTTGTACTAGGAACAGACAAATGAGGATACAAAGGAGGTGGTTTGGAAAACCTTCACATCCAAACCACTGTCCAAAGTCCACATCCTGGAAAGCATCTTACTGAAGAATCTCCTCCCTGACCTGTGGAGCTGTAGCTTGTGGAAGAGAATGGCAGCTTGTTCTCTTGCAAATATCAAGGCAGAGACAGCAGCCTTTGCACACAACCTCTGGGGAAATGGGGCTATGTGAGTAGTTGTCTCTGGAGGCTTCTGGTCCCTCATTGTCTCCTCTCTCCTGACCTTAATGATAGCAGAGTATAATGTTTGTGTTTTGGCTGAGATTGTTTAGGAGGACAAGGGGGGATAGAAACTTTGAAATAGAGTCACCCCTTATCAAATCAGCTGTGATACAGTCAAGAGAGACAAAAAAATTTTAAATCTTCCCCAGATCCCTTGCTGATGTGGTGTCACAACCTCAAACAGCTTTTTCATGTGTACTTTTTTCTCAAAGGTCTAGTGATACCTCTTGGATCATTTTGTTTTCTTTTTTCCTTCTAGTTTTTTAAATATAATACCGATATTTCTTACCATTACAGAGTTGATCTCAGGATATTTTTTTTCTGTCGTTTATTTTTAAAATTTTGTTAACATATAACATCTATACGTATTTGTGGGGCATGACATGATGTTATGATGCATGTCTATGCTGTATATTGACCACAATTCTTTATCATTTTTGTTACTATAAGATTCAAAATTCTCTCTCCTAGTTACTTGAAACAAACAATACCTCATTTTCATACCCAGTCTTCATAATGTGCAATTATGATACATGTTACAATTCTGTATCATGAATAAATTCTTTTATAAATGTTAAGGAGATTGCCCATTTTTCCCCTACATGGTCACCTATGATCCCACACACCAAGGTAGATTTTCTCTCTTTTATCAGTGAAGTCAAGTGTAGTTACTAAAAGTTTGAGCTTGTAGTCTTGTGGCCAGCTTCAAATCCTACTCCTACAACCTGTTGCAGTGTGACTCTTACCAAGTTATTTAATCTCTGCTAAATCACTTGTAAGGAAAAGGATCTTCATTGTGTATCTCTCAGAGAAGAAGCATAATCATGAAATGAGATGATGAAAATGAGCAGGATGTGTAGCACATATTAAGAGATGGATAAACGCTATTTTTATTTACATTTTCAAAAATACAAAATAAAGTAAAAGAAAACTGAGGAAAAATAAAAGTATTAAAACTTATTCATATGAAGACTGTTTATCAATTACTGAGCAAGCAATAATGTACATTTTTGTTTCTGCAAATTTTTGGTCTTGGAAATGCTGAAGTTTGACTTTGCTTACTATATTTGAGTTACATTCTCTTTTTACTCTTTTTCTCACCGATTTCCTTGGCCTTTTTTGACTTCAACATGTTCATGGCACAGGGCCTTTGCACTTGCTGTTCCCTCCAATGAGTACTCTCACTCCTTTACCCTGTCACATGATCTTTTCCTGACTGCCTTTCTAAAATAGTCACGGTCCACTCATGACGGAAACCATCTCCTGAAACTAAGATTTTCTTCGTAGTTTTTATCAACCTTTACCCACTATGTGTTTGCTTGTTTCTGATTTACATTCCTCAAATGGCATGTGAACTCTATGAGAACAGTGGCTGTTTTGTTCAAACATGGTTATCAGTACCTGACTGGATGAGTCTTTCAGGTACACTTGTTAGATTCTCAAGAAACGTCTGTCATAAATGAATGGGATGATTGTGCTTTGAGTTTAATTGTACTATTGTGTTGAACCTTTGAACCACTGGCTAGGATACTGACCATGTGAAACAATGCAAATCGATCAACATTCAGTACATTTCAAGAAACTGCTAATTTTCTGCTGTGTTGAAGCCTATTTTTCTTCCTTTTCACTCTATTCTCACCCTCCTTCCTTTAGGGAAAATCAAAATTATAATATCCATGTAAATTTAATTTTTCCATTGTAAACATACAGGGTATGTGTGTGTAATAACAATTACTTAAACATATATAAAAATTGACAGAATGCAAAGTTACAAATTTACAACAGTTTACTACATGGACCCAACATGGTTTGACTAGTAGGAGAGAAAGTTTTCTGATTTATTTAGAAGGCACTATTACGACACATTATTTCTGAAACAGAACTTATGTTACCGCAATGTTTCCTTTAAAGAGGAAACTGTAGAATGACCCAGTCTAAACTGACCCACTGATAAGTGCAATATATTTATAACTTTCAGGCAGAATTTTGATCAACAGTACCTTCTTAAATGTAGACAAGAATTTTTGCACACCTCTTTGGGTAACTTTTGTCTCTTTCTTTTTTCTTTCTTTCTCCCTTTCTCCCTACCTCCTTTCTCTCCCTCCCTCTTTCCCTTCCTTCCTTCTTTCCTTCCTTCCTTTTTTCTTTTCCTTCTTGCTTCCTTCGTTCTTGGCACTGAAGATTAAACCAGGTCCCATCCCTTGTTAGTATCACACTCTAACACTTGAGCCATGACCCAAGACCTTTTGCTTTTAGTCCGGTTGACTTCAAACAGGGTCCCACACTAACTTTACCAGTGCTGGCCTTGAACTACAATACTTGGTAGGAGCTGGGATTGGGTAGCTGGGATTATAGGCATGTTCCACCTCACCAAACTTGTCTTGGCAATTTTTTCCTGTACTGTTCTTGAACCATAGTTGTGCTGTTTTTACTCTTAAGTTGCTGGGATCCATACCTTGATCTATTATATCTGTAATTATCCAAGATGGCTACAAGTATTCATGCTCACTATACATTGGTAAAATTTCTCTCCTATGCAGATTTTCATGATTTACAGAAAGGTGATGTGGTTAGAAATCCTCCCACATTCTTTTTTAAGATTACTCTCCATCGTGAATTCCTACCTATTTGTGAATGAATTGGAATGATCAAAGGCTCCCAACACTGCTTACATGAATACAGTTTATCTCCTGTATGATTTCTGTTATGTCTGTGGAAGGAACTGGACTGATTGAAAGCTGCCCAACATTGGTCCAATAAAATGTTGCTCTTCAGTGTGAATTCATTAATGAATCTAAAGGAAACTGGAGCATGTGGAAGTTTTCCTCCTTGCTTACAAACAGGATTTCTGAACACTGAGAATCCACATGTCACAGAAAGTACCTAGAAGAACTGAATGCTTTCCAACATTGTGTATATCTATGACATTTCCCTACACTGTATTTTTTCGTGTGCTTGAATGAAACACCTCACCCGTTGGTGGAATACATAGTTTTACTCTCCAGTGTGAATTTCTCATATTTCTCCAGAAACTAGGACCACATTAGGCTTTCCAACATCACTTACATCTGAGGGTTTGTCTGCAGTATGAGTTCTTGTTTGGGGGTTATAGATAGCATGGGGATTTGAACTCATGCTTACTATGTAAGCATTCTACCACTTAAGCTACAACTTCCATTCCTCCATTTTAAGTTCTTTCATGTTGTAGGAAAGACTTCACTGGATGAATAGCTTCCAATTCAGTTTCTGTGGAGTATGAGTTCTTTTATGTCTTTGAACAGTGCTAGAAAATATGAATGATTAACCATATTGATTACAATGGTTTTCTCTCTGGAGCGAACACTTTTGTGACTTCAAAAGGAATTAAAACAGGGAAAGAGTTTCCCACAATTCTGGCATTCATATGTTTTTTCCCCAAACTGGATTCTGCATGTTTGAAGGTAACTGGAATCTCAAATATATCTTTCACCTTACTTATACCTATAGGGTTTTTCTACACTGTGAAAACTTGAATGTAGTACATAGAAATGGACTAAATGAAGGCTTTCCCTAATTGCTTAAACTCATAAGAGTTTTCCTCGGTATGAGTTAGTTTATGTCTCTAAAAGGTATGGGAAAACTAAAAAGAGTCTCAAATTACATACATCCACAGTGCTTATTTAACGTGGATTCTTTCATTTATTTGAAGGAAATCAAACAACTGTAGGTTTTCCCACATTGCTTAACCATAGGGTTTTTCTCCTCTGTGCATTCTTTTATGGAATTAATGAGACCACCGATGTTGAGGCTTTCTCACGTTGCTTATATGCATAGGATATTGCTCCAGGTTTTCCCCAGTAGGACTTTTCTTGTTCACAATACTATCTACACTACGGTGAACAACTTCTCCACACAATGTCTACTGTGTTCACTATACCTTTGTCATAATGAAAGTACCTAAGAGAAGTGATTCAAAGAGGGACAGATTTATTTTGCCTCATGATTTCAGAGGGCTAAGTAAATCAGTAGACAGCTATCTCTTGTTTCTGGGCCATGTTGAGGCTGATACATTATGGCATGGAACATGCATTGGGCCAAAGCATCTCACCTCATGACAGACAAAATATGGTAACAGAACACAGGAAGCAGTCAGGGGAAGATATATCTCCCAAAGACATACCCCAGTGACCTGCTTCCTCCACCTCCTAAAATTTCAGCACATTCAAAAATAGTACTGGCAGTATGGCAGCAAAACTTCAACACAAGTCAGTGGGAGTTGTTTTTCATTGTGTTCCACTGGCTTGTTCACAATATTACTCTACTGTTCAGTACAGTTAATCACAGACCTCAGGAAGAATGAGCATACTTCTAGTCAGATATATAATGCAAGGCATTATTGGTTTATTTCCCTTCTCTGTTCTACTGTCCCATTCCCTTACTAATGATTTCTGTAGATATTTGTAAACTAAACTCTTGGATCTCAAATCTGTGATTCTGAGATTATGTCTGAGGGAACCTGATACATATTCCCATATTACAGAACATTCCTTTACAGAAACTCAATTTCTTCTATTATCCCCACTGTGCATAGAGAGAGAGAACAAAAAGATCAGAGTGGCCTATAGACGAAGAATGTTCCATTGTCTCTTCTAAACTCCACAATGAGAACTACCCATTTTCACTTGCTTCAGTGCATTCTCTGTATCCAGATTCTGTGGTTTTTAAATTACCATGCAATCCTGGTGTACCTGAAGATGGCCTCATTATGTCAACACAATGGAATACTACTTTATTTGAGTATAGAAACCTAGATTGGCATTTAATTCTTCTCAGCCTTTTTATAACATTTTGAATATTTAAAAAATTCTAACCAGACACTAGTGATTCACACCTGTAATCCTAGCTACTTAATGTATGTGTGTGGGGATCCTGATAACTGTTGCCTTGATTGGTTTGATTTTATATGGACTAGTTTTTATTTTCTGAATTCCATGATAGTCCAGAAATCTGCGGGGGCTCGGGTAACTATCTTGTGAAATATAAGCTTTGGACTTAGTGAGCAGGTACATGGTTTATACTTTGATTGGATAAAGGAAGAGAAATATTATGGGGTGATCTAAGAAATGTAATGCCATTTACCAGCGGAACCTGGGTGACTGAAGCTGGAAAAAGATGAGGGGACTAGTGAGTCCTGCTCAATAGCCACTTTAAAGTATACATTGCTTTTTATAAACTCTTTTTAAACAGAGAGCATTTGGTCAGAAAAAGCACGCCAAGTATTACATGTCAAGGTTACATTAGCACAGGGAAGCACAGTTAAAATTAACTCTTTGTTACGTCTCCTTTAAAATGGGAACAGAGAAGCAGGAGAAGCACAAGGTCAACATAAACTTTCTTATTTACATCTGAAGGGCACGAAGCCATCCGGGAACCTTGAATATTGTTCTTCTGGATGTCTGGCTTTCTCACACAGGCAAGGTCTGGTCTGAGACTTTTGCCCCAGTTCCTTGGAGCTTTCTCACAAGGCTTATGCCAACTCACACAGGCAAGGTCCCATTGCTGGCTCTGACACTTTCTATATACACTTTGAATCAGCAGCTCTTTAATGCTGCAATCAGTCATTAGGGATTCAGTTTGATGCTGATTCATGTGTTCTATCTCAGTTCTGATTTGTCTCAGTTCGATCATTCATTTAATCACATATGCAATCATCCAGTCACACATTGTCTTATTAACTTACATACATAATAATTTTAATTTATTTCATTGATAAGTATTTTATGAATCCTCTAAAAACCCAACACTGGAAGAGGAAGAGAGGTCTGATCCAAGCTGATACCAGCCGTCACAAGTGTATGATTCCTATTAGATACCAGTTCCAGCGATCAATTTTAAACTGATAGAAACTCCATCTTAGCTATTGCTTTGTTTGTGCCTGACCAACGATATTATTTCATTCCTTTGACCCCACCTGAAAGGATTTTCTCTCACTGTTGATCTTAAGATCAGGGTCTTTTTAGAAGTCAGAGTTATAGTTAGTAGATTGGATAGAATTGAACTGGTTTTCCTCCTAATGCTTCCAAAAATAATCCAGAAAAAAAACTTAAACTCCTACGAATTCTTTAGTTGTGTCATTAAAAAGTTACCAAAGCATATTTGTCAGGAGAATTTGCTGTTCAACACAGGTATCAGACATGGTTAAAATGATAATTAGAATTCAAGTGAGGAATAGATATGGATATATTTTTAGATGTATTCTTGTTCTAAAACTATATTTTTCTGTTATTCCCCTTTTTTTCAAGCAGCATTTTACTTGATAGCATGCTGGCTGTGAACACAAGATTCTCCTGCTCAGGATCCCAAGTGCTGCAACTCAAACACAGCATTCTTTCCATGGACACAGACAAAATTGAATCACAGGTTCAAGATGATGTGAATAATAATGGATCATAATATATACTGATGTGTTTTACCTCAAATATGTAAAATAAGATTACCTTGATGAGCTGCTGTAATTCTGATTTTTGTCAATGTCTCAAGGTGACTTTTAGGGATACAAGAGTATATGAGAACCATGACATCCTTTTAAACTCTAATAATTAAAAAGATAACTCTGATATCGTAATACATATGAGGCTTGTCTGCAAAGCACTTTACATGAATAGTGTGGTGCTCTGGGAAGTCCTATGGATTAGAATCTTGAAGTTAAAATTGAAGCATCATCTTATTTCTGGCAAAATACAACCAAAGTTGCCTCTAGCCTGGTCATGTAATAGAAGAGGTTCATGGTATGAAAGGACAGTACAGAGAATTAAAAATAATAAATAATTTTAATTAAAATATTCTTAGATACTAGAGCTTCAATGAAAGTTTAGCATGTTTTCAAAAATATAATTAATTAGCTATGTGCAATGAATTCCTTGCTTTTCCAACAACCTTCTTGAATGCACTTTTGACCTCTTTATTCCTCAGGCTATGAACCAGGAGATTCAGCATGGGGATGATCGTAGTATAAAGCACAGATGCCATTTTGTCTGTGTCCATGGAATGCACAGAACCTGGCTGTAAATACATGAAGATGACAGTTCCATATAAGATGGAAACAGTGGTGAGGTTGGATGCACAGGTGGAGAAGGCCTTCTTCTGTCCTTCAGCTGAATACATCCTCAGGATAGCAACAAAAATAAACAAGTATGAAAACAAAATAACAAAGCGTGAAAAATATGTTGAATCCTGCCAATGTGAAAAGCACAATTTCATTTGAGTAGATATCAGAACAAGAAATAGCCAACAGTGGGAGAATGTCACAGAAAAAGTAATTACTCACATTGGAATGACAGAAAGAAGAATGGAAAGTGCAGGCAACATGGGTGGATGATTGCACAAGTCCAATGATGTAGGAACCAGCAACAAGTAGGACACACACAGTACTTGTCATGGTGGTGGTGGAATGGAGGGGTATACACATGGCCGCACGGTGATCAAAGGCCATTGATGTCAGGAGAAAACTTTCAATAATGATAAAGGCTGCAAAGAACATCTGAGTGGTACAAGCCTTATAGGATATGATCTTATTTCCTGTAAGAAACCCCACCATTACCTTAGGAGTGACAGTGAGGCATAAACACAATCCATCATGGAGAGGTTACTGAGGAAAAAGTACATTGGAGTGTGGAGTCTTGAATACAACAGAATCAATACAATCATCCCAAGGTTCCCAAGAAGAGTGATGAAGTAAATGACAGTGAAGATTGCAAACAAAGGGACCTGTAGCTCTAGGACACCTGTCAACTCCACAAAAACAAATTCAGTTGTTTCTTTTTGAAATATTCTCCATCAAATTACTTGGAAATTCTCATGGCATGCTTCTAGGGCAAGAGGAGAAAAGAAAATCGATGCTAGTTGAACACCACCATGACATTTGAAATGTGACCAAGGCCTCTTTCTCATTTGTCAGTCTCCTGTCCATTGCAGCAGTCTGTGAAAGAAGCTGGCTTAATGCTGGTTGTGTGTGGGTTGGTTGAGGTCATTCATCCTGAAGTGGTACAGCTAGGTACTGGAACCTGTTGGTGACCATAGCTGCCATAAATCATGCACATTGAGACTCTGGGACTCAATTCACTTTTCCTGGCAGAAGATATGCCTTATTACACTAAGCCACATAGGACTCTTTTGCAATGCTTGCAATATTGTACAAAGTTATTTAGAGAAAAGCTGTTATCTAAAACATACAGTAAAAGCATGATCAGCAGAAAGCACTGTTCAGGATCTTGTGATCATGCATCCTATGATGATGACAAAACCTATCATGCATCTCCCATCTCTGTGGGACCCCAAACACATTTTTCTCACTAGCCAAAGTTAAGCCACCATAGGGCCTTGGTCTAGGGAAATTCATTCCTTTCTCTCTAATTTAAGAGTGCCCTTAAGTGGACGCTTCTCTTTAATAATTGGCTCCTGTAGAAAACTGCATGATCTACATGGCACATTATTAGTGATGTCAAGAAATCTTTCAGTACCTCAAAGAATAAAGGAACAGCTTTCAAAAGACTAAATCCAAACTTTTGCTGCCTTCTATTTCAGTCGTAAGTTTTATTTTTCACTGATGCTGATGTTATTCATTTCCTAACTTTATCCATCTCTGTGATTTACTTGTGTGGATGGAGAATAGCAGCTCTGTGTCTTCAACCTAGTCATAGTTTATAATGTAACTGGTTCAACTTACCTGCAGTGGTGACTCAGGTGACAACTGAATGTGTAACTGAAGTTGGGCTATGAGAGACACTCCCGACTCTGAAATGGATCACACTCATTTCTCCTACACTTATTATTCAAGGAATGAAGTGTCATAGCTTTTTCTCTTGTGATAACCAAGGAATAAATCATACACCCACTCCCTCAGAATCTATCCTGTTTTTATAAGATGATGAATAACAAAGGTATCTGAAAGCCATATAAAAGCTAACATTTTACAATCAAGTAGTTGGAACCATTAATTTTTATATTCCTAAAGAAAATAGTATATCATTTGAGATGGTCATGAGAATGTAGAAAAGGCTACAAGTCCTGATATTTTCTAAATGGGGCTATTATCTCTGTACTGATATTCCTCAAGCATACAATAAAATTAAGAGTGTGGTCTTCCTTTGAAGGACATCTAAAGGTATGATCATAGACATCTGAGTGACAGAGTAATGGACAAGAAGGGAAGGTGACCATAGCAGGATGTCTATGGAGGATGTCTACGGTGTTGCTTTTTAATATTTCTGAACTTTTACTTCCTCTTTTGCATTCTGTGGATTGAATTAAAGACCTTAAATATGCTTTGCAAATATTCTAACATTTGAATTCTGTCCCTAGTATTTCTGTTTTTATTTTGTTTTGAGAAAATTTGTCTCCCATCTGACTATCATTTTCCATTTTTTGTTTTCACTTATAAAATAAAAATGTTTAGATACTCCATTGTCTGTTATGATTCTAAATTGCTATATTTGCATGGTTTTGTAATACTTATTCTTACAACACACAAATGAGGGTAAAAAGGGGGTGGTGTGGAAAACTTTCATGTCCAGCACTTTGTCCAAAGTCCACATCTTAGAAAGCATCTTACAGGAGTATCTCATCCCTGAACTGTGCAGTTGTATCTTGTGGAAGAGAATCTTGGCTTGTGTTCTTGCAAATACCAAGGCAGAGACAGCGCCATTGCACACAAGTGTCTGGGGAAATGGGGCCATATGAGTAGTTGTCTCTGGAGGCTCCTGGTCCTACATTGACTCTTCCATCCTGGGCTTGATGGAGATAGCAGAAGTTAATGTTTATGTTTTGGCTGAGCATGCTTATGAGATATCAGGGAACAGAAGCTTCAAGAAAGAGCCTCCCATTCTCGTATCAGCTGTGACATAATCAAAATAGACAAAGAATTTAATTACTCCCAAAATCTCTTGCTTAAGTGTATCAAAACTTCTCACCAGCTTTTTAATGTGTATCTTTATCTCAATGGTCTAGAGATATACCTTGTAAGTTTTTTTTATTCTTTTTTCCCTTCCATTTTTTTAAACAAAATGCCACTTTTTCTTACAACTGCAGAGTAAATCAGGATATGTTTTCTGTCATGTCAGTTTAAATTTTTGTTAATAGATAATAATTAAGTGCAATTATGGGATATGATGAGATGTTATGATACATGTTTTTATTGTATAATAATCATTGTGTAAATCAGGATAATTGATATATGTCTCATCTCAATCATTTATAATTTTTGTCACAATCACATAGACACCTGTGATCCCACAACTCTGATAGAATTATCTCTTTTATCAATGAAGTCAAGTACAGTTTTTAAATGTTTGAGTGCATACTCATGTGACCGGCTTCAACTCCTGCTCCTACAACCTGCTAAAATGTGACTCCACAAGTTATTTAACCTGTACAAACCTCAGCATATCTCTTGAAAGAAAGGGACAGTCATATTGTTTGTCTTTCAGACAAGACTCATAATCGTGAAATGAGTTGTCAGAAGCTAGCATGATATAGTGCACATATTTAAATATTACTTATTCTTATTTTAATTTTCAAAAATATAAACTAGAGTAGAAGAAAATTCAGGAAAAATAAAAGTATTAAAACTTATTCATACTGAGCAAGCAATAATGTACATTTTTTTCTGCAAATATTTGTTCTTGATAATGCTGAACTTTGATTGTATTTACTATATTTGAGTTATATTCACTCTTTTACTGTTGTTTATCTCAGTGTTTTCCTTGTCATTTTTTAAGACTCCAGCTATTTTCATCCCACAGTGTCTTTGCACCTGCTGTTCCCTTTGAGAAATGCTTTCACTCCATTTAACCTGTCAAGTCATCCTCCTCTGACCATCTTTACAAAATAGTCACTCTCCACTCATGACAGAAACTGTCTCCTCAAATTATAATATTCTTTATATCTTTTATCCACAACCTTGACTTACTATGTATTTGCTTATTTTTTATTTACATTCCTCCCATAGTATGTGAATTATGAAAACAGTGACTCTGTTCTGTTCAAACATGAATAGTACTTGTCTGGGCACTTCTTTCAGCTATATTTATTAGAGTCTCAATAAATATTTGTGAAATAAATGAATGAAATAATTCTACTTTGGGATTAATTGTAACAATATGTTGATCCTTTGGACCATTGTTTAGAATAGTGAATCATACATAATAATGAAAAAAATAAATGAACATTCAGTACATTTCAAGAGACAGTGCTGATTTTCTGCTATACTGAGGCATATTTTCCTATCTTCTCACTCAGTTCTCACTCTCCTCACTTTAAGGAAAATGATTTCCTAGAAATATCATCAAATAGATCACTTCAGACTTTCCAGTAATTTTCTTACTAATGTGCCAGTAACTTGCAAGGAACATATCAAACAAGGACAAGCTTAAAATTCCTAAATACATTAATATCGAAATATTAGATGTTCATGTATGCTTGCATTTTTAATAGCTATTATTACACAAAGACTATACAACATATTGGAATTATTTTAATTTTCCATGTAGAATATAAGCATGGAAATACTTGTTAGACGAAATCCAACGTACTTGCGTGTTCAATATGCTGAGATTAAACAACCTTCATGCTTTTATTTTGAATCTTCGGGGGCCAACATAGTACACCAGCCTACCCACAGGTTTGTGTCTCCATGTGTAAATATTCACTATTATGAAATAGGCATCCCTAATATCATGGTATTTGTAGAGTTGAGTATGCAAGGATGTTTATGCCATTCCTCTGGCAGGAACGTGCTATGATGCATTCAGTTCTTTATTTATGGTGACAGTTTGCCAGCCATAGCTACTTATAACTACTATTTAATGATTGTTTAATTTTAAAATCATTTGGTATTTATGGAGAATTTTCAAAGCTAGGGCAGAGTGTTGTCATATCACACTGTGGCAGTCTCTATAGTGCCCAGCCAAAACATTTGATTCCTAATTCAGAAACCTTTCAATGATCCTCTCTGTGGTTCAAAAGGACAAAGAAGAAGTGACTAAGGTCAAGATTTTAACAATTAGAGATCATCCACTGTGCCCCCAAATCAACCCCATGTGTTCTTATAAAATGGAGTTAGAAAAATTTATCCATAGGCAAAATGGGAGGGAAAAACCTGAAAGTGATCTGACCTAAATTGTGGCATGCTGCAGTCACTGTAGGATGGAATAAGCAAGAGATGGAGTGTGCACTAGAGTCATGGAGTGACTGTGTCTGACACGCCATTGATTTCAGCTCATTGAGATGAATTCAGATCTCTGGTTTCTAGAACTGTGAAAGAAAGAATAAGTACTGCCATTGTATATGTTCAAGTGTGCAGTAATTTTCTGCAGCATCCATTGGAATATAATATAGATCCTCACTGTTTCTTCTGTGTTACAACTTTCTGTCACCATGGAATGAGTACTGGGAAAATTCTCCACAAAAACCACTTGTTCTTAAAATTTTCTTTCTTAAGGCATTATTAATTTTAATTATATCTCTACAATTGTTAGAAGTATATGCATATGTTTTCTTTTTCTAGACTCGGTTTTGATTATAAGATTATAAGATTGAGCCACTGCCCCTGGCTATAATTGTTCTTATTTCTATAAAGTCAGTAGTTATATTTTGAGTTCTACAAATGAGTTTTGTAATTTAGGTTTTCTTTCCCATTGCATGATTAGTTTGGAAAAATTTGTTATTTTGGGTGATCTTTCCACAGAATCATCTTCAACTTCGTTGATTTTCATTATCATTTTCTGTATTCCATTTGGTTTCCTTTGTTCTACTTGTCATTTACTTCTTTCTGATTCTTTCAGATTAAATATTTACTTTTGGATATTAATTTCTGAAGGCTTATTCTTATTTTTCAATATGGAAAGTTCTACTTTATGAAAATTATTTTTACCAGTAAAATATTTGGTATATGTTTCCTCAAAAAATATAAATATAAATCCACAGATCCAGCTCTGTCTTCTGGGTATACGCCTGAAAGAATCAAACTCTATCTCCATATATACTGCACAGCCATGTTTATTATAACACTGCTCACAACGTCTTAGGCTATGGAATCAATCTAGGTATCCATATCCATATTCAAATATGTTCTATTTTTTATATTCTAATACATTATACCCATATCATAATATAAATATATGCATGTATAAATATACTTGAATAATATTTAACCATAAAGAAGAATGAAATTATGGAAATTGTAGGAAAATGGATGGAATTGCAAAATGGTGTTAAGAAAAATAATCCAGAGTCAAAAGACAAATATTGTGTGTTTTCATTAATATATACAAAAATCTAGATTTTAAAAAGGAGATGACATTATAATCAGGTATATTTGAAAATAGTAATGGATCCAGAAGGAGTGGTAAGGGAACAAGATAGCATCATAGTGAAGAGTGAATAGTGATGTAACTTTAAAAAATCATACACAGAAATGAAAATAACATATTCAAAATGTGTTATTTTTGCATTAGTATGCACCAATAAAAAGAAACACTAAAAATGTACAGAAATCTGTATCAAGAAAAGATAAATGGAAAGTCAAAGTATACAATCTACAAAAAATATTTCTCCATAGTAAACATACAGTGTGAGTATGTGTAAAAACCTCTCACACGAAACCAGTAGAAAAAACCCAAAAAACCAAAAAATTATTTTCCCAGGGTTCATTAATAATTGTTCCTTAAAATTTCTGCACATCCAAAAGTAGTACAGGAAATATAGGAGCAAATTCAACTGAGGTCTATGGGGGTCATTTTTTATTGTATATGTTTTTTCTTTACAATATCTTGCTAGTGTTCTATTAAGTTAACCACAGACCTCAGGAAGAGTTTACCCTTCTTCTACTTAGATATATACTTCAATGCACTGTACGTTTGCTTCCCTTCTCTGTTCTACTATCCCACTCCCCTACCAGTGGCTTCTGTAGTTGCTTGTAAAATAAACCCTTGAATCTTAAAACTGTGATCCTGAGATTAAGACTGAAGGACCTGATCTAATACATATTCCAAGATTACACAAATTTCCTTTACAGAAACTGATTTTCTTCTATTATCCCCAGTATACATACAGGGAGAAAAAAAGAAAGGGAGTGGCACATAACCAAGGACATTCCATTATCTCTTCTACACTCCACAATGAGAGCGACTCACTCTTGCTGCAACGCACTCTCTGTATTCAGCCCCTGTGGATTATAAATTACCATGGAATATTGGTATGCCTGAAGATGCCCTCATTATTTCAGCACACTGTAATGCTAGTTTCTTTGAGTATAGAAATCCGGATTGGCATTCAATTTTCCTCAGCTCTTTGAATGACATAAATCCAATATCTGCTGACTTCTATGATTTGTATGTGAAGTATCTGTCAGTCAAAATATTATTACTTTGACATTACCTCTTAGGAATTTTCCCTTCACTTTTTCTGGGTTCATAATGACATGCATAAATACTGATTTAAAAATTCTATCCCTTTAAGAATTTGGTCTTTAAAATTTTTTTAGTATATGGTAGTTATTCGCTGGATTTGTTATGATATTTCTATGTACATAGTAGACCCATGCGGTTCATCCATCCAATCCTAGGACCAATCCTAGGACCATTGCATGTCCTAGGTGCATGCAATGAGAATTTCCAGAAGACATTGAAGGGAAATATTTCAGAAGTGACTGAGTTTGTTCTTAAGGGGTTAATGTATGTCCTAGAGCTACAGGTTCCTTTGTTTATCATCTTCACTATCATTTACTTCATCACTCTTGTTGGGAGCCTTGGGATAATAGTGGTCATTCTGTTGGACTCCTGACTCTGTATTCCCATGTACTTTTTCCTCAGCAATCTCTCCTTGGTAGACTGTGTTTATGCCTCAGCCATCACTCCTAAGGTAATGGTGGGGTTTATCACTAGAAATAAGATCATATCCTATAAGGCTTGTGCCACTCAAATGTTCTCTGCAGCCTTTGTCATTATTGAAGGTTTATTCCTGGCCTCAATGGTCTTTGACCACCATGCAGCTGTTTGCAAACCCCTGCATTATACGACACCATGACAAGTACTGTGTGTGTCCTACTTGTTGCTGGTTCCTACATTATTGGACTCGTGCGATCATCCATCCACGTTGCCTTCATTTTTCATCTCTCTCTCATTCCAATGTGGTTGATCACTTTTTCTGTGACATTTCCCCACTGTTGGCTATTTCTTGCTCTGATATCAACACAAATGAAATTGTGCTTTTTACATTGGCAGGATTCGACGTATTTTTCACTATCTTTGTTATTTTGTTTTCATACTTGTTTATTTTTGTTGCTATCCAGGATGCTTTCAGCTGAACAATAGAAGAAGGCCATCTCCACTTATGCATCCCACCTCACCACTGTTTCCATCTTCTATGGAACAATCATCTTCATGTTTTTATAGCCAGGTTCTACTCATTCCATGGACACAGACAAAATTGCATCTGTGTTTTATACTATGATCATCCCCATGCTAAACATCCTGATCTATAGCCTGAGGAATAGAGAGATCAAGTACACATTCAAGGTTGTTGGAAAAGCAAAGAATTCATTGCGTACAGTCAATTAATTATATTTTTAAAAGCATGCGAACTTTCATTGGACCTCTATTATCTAAGAATATTTTTTTTCTTTTGCCTGGAAGAGAGGGGGTGGGAGGAAGACAGAGGGGGTAGGGGAGGGAGTGGAGGGCAAGGAGGAGAAATGGCCCAAACAATATATGCACATATGAATAAATAAATAATAAAAAAATTTTAATGTAAAGTTTCCTAAGAATATTTTAATTAAAATTATTTCTTATTTTAAACTTCTCTGTACATTCATTTCATACCATATACCTCTTCCCTTACATGACAAAGTTAGAGGAAATTTTGGTTGGCTATTGCTAGACATAGGATGATGCTTCAATTTTAAGTTCAAGATCCTAAGCCAAAGCACAGAGCACCACACTATTGGTGTAAAGTGCTTTGCAGATAAGCTTCATATATGTAATAATAACAGAGTTATATTTTTAATTCTTAGAGTTTAAAATGGTGCTATGGTTCTCATACACAGGGCACAGCCACAGACTCCTGTGATCCTAAAAGTTACCTTGAGAGATTGACAAAAATCAAATTGCAGCAACTCCTCTAATGCAATCTTATTTCATGTAAACTAAGTAAAACACATCAATTCGTGGTAGGATCCATTAATATCCACACCTTCTTGGACATGTGCTTCTAACAGTTCCAGTGTTGTGTTTGGACAATCAGGGGTAGCATATAATCTAAATTAATTGAGTACTTGAATTTCAGAAATCAAAGATAAAGTTTGCTACTAGAATGCTGACACAAGCCTTGTAATTGCAGCGCTTGGGAGGCTGAAGCAGAAGAATCGAGTGTTTAAGGATAGCCTGTGCTACCAAGAGAGACATTGCTTGAAAAAAACAGCAAGAACAAAAAAATAGAGTTCGGAGAATAAGAACTCATCTAAAAGTAAATCCATATCTATTCTTAACCTGAACTCTAAATAGGATGTTAGCCATATCTAACGACTATGTGAACAGTAAGTTCTCCTGACAAATATGCTTTTGTAACTTTTTAGAAAGGTGACTAATTAATTCAGAAGAGTACAAGTTTTCATCTGGATTATTTTTAGAACCATTCAGAGAAAAAAAATGAGTTCAATCTCCTCCAAATTATTAACTGTAACTCTCACTTCCAACAAGATATTGAACTCAAGATCAATAGTGAGAGTAAATCCTTTCAGGTCTGATCAGAGGAATGAAAAACATCATAGGTTCAGTTAGGAGCAATAAAAGCAACAGATAAGATAGAGTTTCTATCAGTCAAAAATCAACCTCTGGAACTGGCGTCTAATCTGAATCATACACTTGTGAGGACAGGCATCTGCTGGATATCAGTCCATTCTTCCTTTACCAGGACTGGGTTTAAGAGGTGTCAAAAAATACTTATCCAATGAAGTAGATTAAAATTATTAAATAAGTATGTTAATTAACAAGATGATGTGTGACTGGATGATTGCATGTGTGAGTAAATGAATGAGCAAATTGAGACAAAGCAGAACTGAGATTGAACAAATGAATCAACACCAAACTAGATTCCTAATGACTGATTGCAGGATTAAAGAGTTGCTTGCTCTAAGTTTGTAGTGAGAGGACATCTCATAGATCACCCCAAATATTGTTTCTTTCCTTGTTCCATTGACGTTTAATCCATGTATCTTTTCACTAAGTCCAAAGTGTGTATCTCAGGAGATAGTTACCGGAGCCCTTGCAGATTTCTGGACCATCATGAAATTCAGAAAATGAAAACTAATCCAGTTTAAATTGAAATGATCAAGGCAATAAAGGTCAGGACCCCTCCAAGGAACTAGAAATACAGTTGTGCATCACCAGTGCCCTATTAGAACTTTAAAAATATTCAAAACTTTAAGAATTTTCAAAATATTGCTTAAGAAGTAAAAACATGGAGGACACAAATGATGATTTAAGAGGCAGCAAGGTAGGTTGAAATGTTCCAAAACTTTCTACTAGGAATTTCAGAAACAAATACCAAGAATAGCAGAAAATAAATGTCAAAATTCAAAATTACTAATAAGTTGGTAAATAAAGAAATGTATAACATCTCTGCTTGAAAGACCACAGCTGTGGTTGAGATACTTTGTACCTGTATGAAAATGGAACAGTGAAACCTGTCAAAGTCATTTCAAGAAGAGTAATAAGATTGATGGTAATTGAACACCACCATGATGTTTGAAATGTGTCCAAGGCCTCTTGCTCATGTGTCAGACTCCATGCAGGAGTCTATGAAAGAAATTAGACTGGATGTTGGTCGTTGGTGGGTTGATTGAGGTCATTCATCTGGAAATAGAACAGCTAGGTACTAGAACATCTTTGGTGACAATAGCTGCCACAATTTATGAATATTGTGACTTTTCTGGCATATGATATGCTTTAGTACACTAAACCACATAGTACTTTTTTGCAAAGCTTGCAATATTGTACAATCAAAGTTATTTAAGCAAATCTCTTATCTAAAACATACAAAGAAAGCAGAAAGCAAAGTGTGGGAAGATGTGGTCCTGCTTCAGTGTATGGTGATGGCAACACCTATCATATACATCTCTCATCTCTGAAGGACTGTCGACACGTTTCTCTTAGTAGCCGAAGATAAGCAATGATGGGACCTTGCTCTAGAGACACTCATGCTTTTTTCTCAAATTTAAGAGAGCCCTTAAGTGGATGCTTGTGTTTAATCATTGGTTCCTATAGAAAACAACATGATATATGTGGCACCTTATTAGTAATGTCGAGATATTTTTCATTACCTCAAAAACTAAAGGAACATTTTTCAAAAGGCTAAATCCAAAGGTTTGCTGACTTCTCTTTAAGTCATAAATTTTATAATGATAATGATGTTATCCATTTCCCTCCATCACCCATGTATTTGCTTTACCTGTGAGGAGAGAGACTAGCAGAAGAAGGACTTTTCAAGCATATTAACTCCTTGTCTTCAATGTAGCCACAGTTCATAATGCAACTGGTTTGACTTACCTCCATCTATGACTCCGGTGACAGCTGAATGTGCTATTGAAATCAGAGTATGAGAGCTCTTCTCAAACCAAGAGTCACTTCTGACTCTGGAGTAGGTCACACTCATTTCGTGTAGTCTAATATCCTTCATATTCAAGGAACAAAATGTCATAGCCCTTTTCTCTTGCTATAACCAAGGTAGAAATCATACACCCATTACCTCAGAATCTATCATGTGCTTATATGATGAAGAACATTAAAGTTGTTTGAAAACTATAAAAATGCTAACACTTTAAAATCAAGTAATGGGACCCATTACATTTTTTTAATTTAACAAAATAGTACAATATTTTAGATTGTAGAGTCATTGTGGAAAAGGCTACAAGACCTGATATTCTAAATGGGGCTGCTATCTCTGCACTGCTATTCTTCAAGCATAGAAGAAACTTACAAATCTGGTCTCCCTTTTGAAGGACATCTGAGTGTAATGAGCATGGACACCAGATGCCATAGAGCAGTGGATCAGGATGGAAGGTGACTAAAAACAGGAGGTCTACAGTGTTGCTTTTTATCTTTTTGATGTTCTTTTGTTTGCTGTTTTTTGTGGTTCTACATATTGAAAAAGGCCTTAAATAAGCTTGGTAAGTACTCTAACACTGGAACTATGCCCCCATCCTTTTGTTATTATTTTGTTTTGAGATAATTTATTTTTATTTTGTTGTTGTTGTTTGGTCTTCAAACTAACAAGTCCCCTGCCTCTATCGCCTGACTACTTATTTTATATTTTTTGTTTCGACTTGTAAAATAAAATTGTTTAGACAACCTCTTGTCCCTTACAATTCTAACAGTAAGTATTTTTAAATACTTACTGTTGTCATAGAAACAGACAAATAAGGGTACAAAGAATTTGGTGTGGAAAATTGTCATGTCTTGCACTATGTCCACAGTCTACATCCTGGAAAGCATCTTGCTGAAGAATCTTCTCCCTGACCTGTGTAGTTGAAGCTTGTGGAAGAAAATCTTGTCTGTGTTTAGAGACAGCAGCCTCTGCACACAAGTCTCTAGGGAAACGGGGCCATGTAAGCAGTTGTTTCTGGAGGCTCCTGATCCCACACTGACTGTTTCATCCTGACCTTGATGGAGATAGCAGAAGTTACTGTTTTTGTTTTGGCTGAGTGTGCTTATGAGACCTCAGGGATTAGAAGGTTCTTGAAAGAGCCTCCCATTTTCATATCAGCTGTGATATAGTCAAGATAGACCAAAAGTTTAACTACTCCCCAATCTCTTGCTGAAGTGTATCATAACCTCACACAAGCTTGTGCATGTGAATCTTTATCTTAAGTGTCTAGAGATATTCCTGGGACAGATTTTTTTCCGTCTATATTTTAAATAAAATACCAATTCTTTATACCACTACAGAGTATATATGAGGATATATTTTCTGTCATGTCCTTTTAAATGTTTTAAACAGAATATAATGGTATGTATTTATGGGGTATGATGCAATGTTATGATATATGTTTATGTTGTATAATGAGCATTGTGTAAATCAAGATAATTAACATAT